ACTTAACTACAACAACAACAGGCATAGCTTCCAGCATCACAGCAGCAACAAGCCACTGCAGTGTTAAAAGCAGACAGACGTGGTGGAAGGTTTCACTGCAGAGCTAGACTCTTTCTGTAAGGATAGTAGTTGTCTTACTATCCACCAGGGGGCACTTGCCTCCACTTATTGACTCTGGTTGTGCTATTTATGTGCTGTGGAGTCAGTTTCAACTCATAGCGACTCTGTATAGGCTGCAAAACTTTGCGGGAGCAGAAAGCCTCATCTTCCTCCCACAGAGACGCTGGTAGTTTCGAACTGCTGACCCTGAGATTAGCAGCCAACTGTAACCACTATGCTAGCAGAGCTCCTCTGTAGTTACTGAATTAAGAACGTCTCTGGCATTCTCTTCAAAGTCTAACTCTAATGTCCTACTCAGAAAATCACACTTGCTAACCCCATCTAAGAATAATTATCTGCTTAGTTTCCTTGCCTTTTTCTAACCCTCTTTTTTTAATCATGCATGTAATTTAATATACAAGTTTTCCTCCACCTTTTTGAGTGGAGGAAAACTTGTGTATGAAATTTGTCTATTGAACAGTAGTCCTAATGTGATGCTATTAAAAAAAAGCTTTGGACTAATAACTGCAAAATCGGCAGTTCAACCCCATCAGTCCCTCTTTGGAAATTTTATGTGAGGTCGTGAGTTGGAACCAACTCAGAAGTACTTAGCAACAACTACAATGGGAAAACTAGAGCTACTGGAGCTGCTGAATTTTTGCCCCATCTAAGTTTTACTGACTGCCTCCTCCTGGTGCAATTCACCATGTTCCACTGACTTTGTCCTCTGTATTTTCTTCAAACTGCCACCTGGATCCAGAAGCTTGGTCAGACTCAGGTACAGTAATCACCTTGGCAAGACCAGAAATAGTGTTGTTCTTCAGAAAGATCTTAATGTCTCTGTGTTCTTGGCAGACACAATGCCTACATCCATTCATTCATTGGGGATTGTAAAAGGTTGATATTCTAATGAGCCATTTCTTTTTTGTTTATTAATAGTAATATTTTTATGGAGAAGTTTTAACTCATTTACTCTTTGACTACCCAATGGTAAAAATATAGAGAAAGGCAAGATAAATTCTTAATTCTTTTCATTTACTAGTTTTCAAAATCATGAACTGGTTTGCTATCATCTCCTGAAAGTGACCAATTAGATCTTAAATATGTAATAGTATTTACATATATCACTATGAGCTCATGGATTTAAACATATTTGAAGGGGTTCAACTCATTTGAAGGGGTTCAATTATCATCCTTATTGAAGCTTAATTTGTCCCATTTTAGCCAGTGGTAATTTCTATATGGGATGGCATATATTCAATGCTCATTTTGTACATTTCCTGCCTTAGACTGGGAACCAGCCATTTTCCCAAGAAGTTCTGGTTTCTTTTAGAGGGAACAGTATTCTAGTACTGGACACTAGGGAAGCTCATAGCTACTGGGCTGGTCATTTTTTCTACAATGTACTTACTTATGAGGGAGCTTCAAAACTGGGTGAAAAGAATGGAATTTTTACATGAGCTCTTTAAAGTCTCCTCATATTTCACAATTTAATGCTTCTGCATGCCAGACTCAGTTTAATCTATTTCATCTTCATAACAAACCTAGTACTATTCCCATATTACAGATATGGAAAGTGAGGCACAGAGGAATTATGTAACTTATCTAAGGTCATACAGCTAGTAAGAGGCAAGGCCAAGATTTGAACCTAGAATCTGACTCTTCACCCACCATGCTACCCTTCCTCCTGGTGGACCTGCTTTGGGTCACAATTTCACCTCTTAGTTAGAAAAAAGCAGTAGGTCTTAACTGGCAGACCTACTAAGACCCCCAAAAGACACAGGTGTTCTGCTATCAAGAGAAGCAGGAATGAATTCTGGTAGGCCAGAAAACAACAAATTCTTCCTATACCAATTTCTTTTGTAAAAAATCACTCTGATTCATGATTGTACAGCTCAATCTTTATTATTGGCATTTCAATGATTAAATTTTGAAGAATGAAATAAAATGATACATGACATAAAATTAGTATCTCTTACAAAGTTAATATCAAGTAGTTAAAACCAAGGGGCCCAGAGGGAATAGAAGCAAATGCTGTTGAATGGTGATACATGCAGTAGATTGTAATCATTGCAATGAAACAAAATAAGATAGGATGAGTATAAGGCTGATGTTCCCCCATGTAAACTATCACTCAATTCACAATAAAAACTTAAAACAAACAAATAAACAAAAAAAAACCCAAGTGGCTGAAAACGGATTAACACTCTCCAAAGCCACAGTAATTAACACTTGGGCAAATACCAAGTTTAATGCAGCACAAGCTGCATATTCAACCAAAAGGAGTATTTTTGTTGCTGTTAGTTATTCAACATTTTGCCGTGAAAGGACAGAGCCATTACAGTGTGAATGATCTGGGTCATCCTCCTCTTCCAAAGCTATAATATCCGGGATTTCATCAGTTTCAGAAGTTAAGTCGATGGTAGTGAAATCAAACACCTGTAAAAGAAGAACTCTGGCTATTAAAGCAAACACGAGTAAAGTGAGCCATTAATTCCTGCCTGGGAGTAAACCTTGCTTGACACATAACTGCACTTTCTGAAAAGATCCTCCTGTCCCCCAAAATAAGTATCTTATTCCTGTAATTCACTATTATAAAAGCACTAAGTGAACATTTTTTTTTAATGGAAACTGTTGGTGGAGCCCATAAAATGAAGGCTTTAAAAAATTACAAGATATGAAACATTTATAGTTATTCATCTCTCAATCTGTTCACTCTTTTAAAGACAATACTTCACTCCTGCCTAAATCTGGCTTCCAAAACTAGAAACTCTTTAGGAGCTGTCCAGGAACTAAAGAAGCCAAAGGTCTTTTAACAGTTGGTATGGTCACCACAAAGCCCCAGCTCGTCACTGCATAGAAAAGACTTTAGGGATAAGAAGATCTATTGAGTCCTACATATTTGTATAAGCTAACTGACAGCTCTTTGCCAACATCAGGTAGAAGACAGAAATCTCAATTGCATAGAAAAGAATAGCTGATTGCCTGTTGTTGTTGTTGTTAAGTGCCGTCGAGTCGGTTCCGACCCATAGCGACCCTGTACAGGGTTTCCGAGGGTGTAAATCTTTACAGGAGTAGAAAGCCTCATCTTTCTCCCGCGGAGCAGCTGGTAGTTTCGAACCGCTGACCTTAAGGTTCGCAGCCCGATTCGTAACCACTACGCTACCAGAGCTCCTTAGCTGATTGCCTAGCAAAGAAAAAAAAAAAAAAAATCCTAAGAAACAAATCCCTTAAAACTCAGACAAGAAGAATTTTGCTTTGTTCATTGGACTCTCTACCTGACCCTTATGGTGGTTCAGTGGCCTAAGCATTGGGCTACTAATTGCAAGGTCAGCGGTTCAAACCCACCACTCTGTGGGAGAAAAATGAAGCTGTCTGCTTGCATACAGATTTAGTCTTACCAGTTCTATGGGGCAGTTTTTCTCTGTCTTACAGAGTCACTCTAAGTTGGAGTCAGCTTGACTGATAGCAGTGGGTGAGGAGTGAAGTGTTTAGAGGACTACGCAGTCGGAGGTACAAGAATTCACTGTTTCTTCCTGGGGTTTTCCATTTGGGGAGATCAAACTGCAGCCCAGCTCTTCACGAACATTCACTTTGTAAAGATTATATCCAAGCTGACATCCACAAAAGCCAGCAATGCTTACACACATAGGTTCAGGGAACCATTTGATACTGTAATTTTAGGGGTTTTGTGTTCAAAGACTTACCTTGCTATTTCTAGTAAATGTATATTTTTATATCCTAAACATTATTTTTAATAAATGTAAACAGAACAGGAAGCTATGACACGAGATCATATAAGCGGAGGGATTTTCTGGGCCCCAAACTGGAAAGTAAGCTGCACTTTTGTCCTATCAGAGGTTTAGAGGACTAAAATGGCAAAAAGATCAGCTTTGACATCAGTAAGGTATCATACTATCTTCGCGCCCTGCATGGATCAACCTTTTCAACCTCAGTTTCCTCATTTCTTGTTGTTGTTAAGTGCTGTCATTCCCAATTTATAGCCACCATGGAGAGGGCTTCCAAGGAGCAGCTGGTGGGTTTGAACCACTGGCTTATCAGTTAGCAGTCCAGTGCTTAGCTACAAGTTCTCTTGTCGTTGTTGTTGTTGAGTGCCGTTGAGTTGGTTCTGACTCATAGTGACCCTGTATAGGGTTTCCAAGGAGTGGCTGGTGAGCTTGAACCACCGACTTAGCGGTTCAAACCAACCTTGCAGTCCAGCACATTAACCCACAGTGCCATACCAGGACTCCATAGATGAGGGATTAAGGTAGCTCAACAAACAGTTGCTTTTATTACTTTGGGTTCCTTAATATTCCTCACAGAACCTCCAAAGTGCCATACCAGGACTCCACAATTTCTCTAAGGTGAGAAAAGTCCTAATTGGGTTATGTTGTTAAGTGCTGTTGAGTCCATTCTGACTGATAGTGACCCTATCTAAGGTTTTCAAGGAATGGCTGCTGGATTTGAAGAGCCACCTTGTGGTTCAAATCGACTTTGTGATCCAGTGCTCATCCTACAGTGCCACACTAGGACTCTAAAGGTGAGGGATTAAGGTAGCTCAGTAAATGGTAGCTTTTAGTACTTTGGGTCCCTTAGTATTCCTCACTGAACCTCCAAAATCTTCTAGAAACCATATAACTGTTGACCTAAATTATGGTTATTTACAGGAGCTTGTAGTGCCACACTTTTTGGAACAACAGAATTTTAGGAGAAAAGTTACTCTGGTTTCATTATCAAAAAAATGGTTTCTTGTTTTTATTAGGTGCCTTCAAATTGGTTTTCAAGTACAGTGACCCTGTATAGAATTCCCAAGCCTGAAAATCTCCCGGTATGGCCCTGTAGGATTAGCACTGGATTGTAAACCACAAGGTCGGCAGTTCAACCCACCAGCTGCTTCTCAGAAATCCTATACAGGGTCGCTATGAGTTGGAACCAACTTGAGGGCACTTAACAAATTTTTGTTGTTGTTATGTGCCGTGGAGTCGGTTCCAACTCATAGTGACCCTGTACAGGGTTTCTGAGGCTATAAAACTTTATGGGAGCAGAAAGCCTCATCTTTCTCCTGCAGAACAGCTTGTAGTTTCAAACTGCTGACTATGAGATTAGCAGCCTGATTCGTAACAACTACGCTACCAGAGCTCCTAACAAATCTTTACGGGAGCAGAAAGTCTCACCTTCTCACGAAGAGCAACTGCTGGTTTGAAACCGCAGACCTCGCGCTTAGCATATTCCAGGGCTTATCCGACAGTGCCACACCAGGACACCAAAGTACAAAGTTGAGGAGTGGGTACCTTTGCCTACATTGCATAAAGGTATGCTAGTGGGAGTCCAGGGCCCAGGATGGGTGGGATGAGAGGAATAGAAACACCAGCTGTGGGGGTTTAGGGTACTGGTATAGGTGAGTACGCACACAGGTTCTACAGATGTTACAGAAGATCAGGAAGACATATATTTTGAAACAGAGTCTAGGCATTGAAGAACTAATAAAGTGAAAAGAGAAAAATTAAACATTTGGTTGCTTTGTATAAGAGTAATTCTAACATTAGGACTCCTGGTGTCACACTGTAGGATCAGAACTGGACTGCGAACAACCAGGTCATCAGTTCAAATCCACCAGCTGCTTCTTGGGAACCCCATACAGGGTCGCTGAGTCAGAACCAACTCGACGACAATAATACCAAATCTAATATTAGTTGAAATCTAATGTTAGTTGATAAGAGAATCATGCATGAAGGTAAGCGTTACAACACCTGATATGTAAGACTAACCCTGGTGGGGTTCGATTTTGACAGAAACGTCTCATCATTTATGGTCGATTGTTTAATGCAGCTTGCTTATGTGTTTGCAAGTTAGAGGGCTCAGGAGTGTCTTGGTTCTGCTTTTTTCTCTCTTTACCTTTTACCTGAACAATTTGGCACAGCTGAGTAGGCGGGATACTCAGCCTCCGCCTAAGTAATACGGTGGGCACGCCTCTTTTACACCTATGCTTTGTCCTTGGTTAGCAAGAGTCCAAGGAACTAGAACTCTCAATCCAAAGGGTAAATGAGGACTGATCCCAACAGATTCAAGGGCCTGCTGGTATCTTTTGCATAACACTCAGTGTTAACCCCTGTGTATTTGATTCATTTGAGCAGGTTCTGCAGAAAGGATTTTTTAAAGACACTGCATGGAGCCCACATTAAGAGTCTTGAAAAAAAAAAAAAAAAGTCTTGTTTGTTGACAAAGGGCTATAGGTAATCCTACCTCTTATAAAAAAATTTTTTTAAATAATTTATTCTGTTGTTGGAAATACGAGTGTACACAGTAGAACAGAGTACACCAATTCAACAACTTTTACTCCTACGATTCCGTGACACTAATTAGAGGCTCTGGAGTCCTGGGAAGGCGCTGTAGGGTAATGCACTAGACTGCAAGGTTGGTTTGAACTGCAAGGTTGACCGTTCAAATTCCTCAGATACTCCTTGGAAACCCTATACAGGGTTGCTATGAGTCGGAACTGACTTGACAGTACTTTACAACAACAATTAGATTCTTCAAGTTGTGTAACTATTCTCATCCTCAAAAAATACATATTTTTTTAAAATCCTAGTCCTATTTTTGGTTCCAGTTAAAATAATTTGTCTTCCATGTCCTGTACTTCTTAAATCAGTTGTTATTGTTGTTGTTAAGTGCTGTCAAGTTGATTCTGACTCATAGAAATTCTGTATAGGGTTTCCAAGGAGCAGCTAGTAGATTTGAACCACCAACCCTGTGGTTCAAATTGACCTTGTAGTTCGGTGCTTTATCCCACAGTGCCACAGGTACATGCTTTTCTTAAGCTGCTGATGCATGGTCCCACCTCTACACTAACCAGCCTCTGAAAGAGTAGGACTCAGGAAACTCCACTGGACCCGTCTCCCCAGCTGATCATCACTGGACTGGTCAGAGGGGACCGGGAAAGTCTCTCTGAAACACAATATGAGCTTATCCTATAAGAGAGTTCACTTGAGCCATTTTCCACAAGGAAGTGGGTCTGGTAGATGTATTCATTCGCTCATTAGCTGAATTTTCCTATGTTCTAGCAGGTGGAGTATGTTGTTATTGTTAAATGCCTTCAAATCAGTTCCACTCATAGTGACCCTGTATAGGGTTTCTCAAGAGTGGCTGGTAGGTTTGAACTGCCCACCTTGTGATTAACAGTTCAGTGTTTATCCTACAGTGCCAAAAGGAAAAAAAAAATGCTTGATTCATACTATTCTTAATAATGTTATCATTTCAAAGCAAACACTTTTTTCTTAATGATATGTACATAAAATTCCATTTAATCTATTCATTACTTTTATAAAATGTCCATTAACACTAATCTACTTCCTTCTTCATCTTCTTAACTTCTGGACATCATTATACATTACATTCTCCCCAACAGGAAATATCATCTAAGTCAGCATTCTTTTAACTTAAAACCCAAATCCTTGTCCTGCCATTCCTATACTGCCTTATGTTGAAGTCCCTATTTGCAAGTGAATTTTTGTAATAAAGGTTGTTGTTGTTATGTGCCGTGGAGTTGGTTCCTACTCATAGCGACCACGTATAGGGTTTCCGAGGCTGTAAATCTTTATGGGAGCAGAAAGCCTCATCTTTCTCCCATAGAACAGCTGGTAGTTTCGAAACGCTGACCTTGAGGTTCGCAGCCAGCAGCCCAGGGCCATAAAGAGTAAGGGACGATGTTCTATACCAAAATATTAAGCAAATATTTGACAGCCTTCCTCTAAAACTGTTAGCAGTTTTTTGAGAACATTTTACATTTCCCTTAGGGAAGAGTTTAGGCCTTGTATTATTAGAAACTCAAATATTAAATTGAGCCATTTTGTAATATCTATTGTACATACAAATATCTACATATTCACATTGACTACCCAGGACTCCTGGTGTGGCCCACAGGTTGGCAGTTCAAACCCACCAGCTGCTCCTCACAAACCCTATACAGGGTCGCTATGAGTTGGAACTGAGTCGATGGCACTTAGCAAACCAGTGAATACACCAAGTAGATTTTTCAATGTTTACCTCAAGTGTAGGTATGTCTCTAACATCTTTTACATGGCTCACTCAAATAGCAATTTCATGAAATTAGTAACAAACCAAAGAACCTGGAAAGTGTACTCTACATTGAAACTCGCTTCTAGTGAGATGGGTCTCACCCCCGCAGCTGAGGAGCAAGGCTACAATCTAGGCTCAGCTGGGTCACAAGAGCACTGATGACAGGGCCCCCCCCCCCACACCTGCTCTCCCAGGCGTCACTTCCCTGCCTCAGGTCTCTCCACTTGGCCCTGAGGGGCAGGCTGCAACCTATAAGACCACAGCTTGTTCAAAAACTGCCTCTGTGCAAATTAGACACCTTCTTCCTCAGCCCCTTCATTTCCGCCTGTTTATCTTCATGAATCTTATTTTACAGGTAGAAAATCTAAGACTCTGAAGTTACTGGCTATTTCACAGTACCCCTTTGATTTTGCGTCCAGGGCTAACCAGGAAGTCTATATCATCAGTATATGTAAAGGACAAAAAACACTTGAACTCTCAGAAAAGAGCTGAGGATCACTCTCCCCAGCTGATAACCATTGGCAATGGCAGAACAGACAGGGGAAGGCCCACTGAAAACCATGCAACTTTATCCCTGCTGAGAGCACCGTGGCAGGCTTCATTCAACCAAGTGTGAGTCTGCCATGGTTACATCCTGCACTAGGTTTAGTCAGCTATCACCCTCAACAGAATTGTCTTCCTACTGAGTTATGCAAAAGTAAAACTTCAAGATACAAGGACAATACAAATGTTGAGTCATTATTGACAGGTGAATGTAGGCACAAACTTGAGACACAAAGACACACAAAACCAATGTACACAGCTTATGGCAACAAGCAAGGGCTGGTGGTGCTGCTTGTCTGCAAGTCAGAAGTGATCTGCATTGTATTTTGTCCTTGCTCATGAATACCTTTGACATCTGTATCCTTTTCACAAGAATTCAGTGGATTATCTAAGCTCGTTAACAGGGACACAAAAGGGCATATGTTAGGGTAAGGAAGCATGTGTATAGCAATAGCATGTTTCCAACTAATTAACACAACCACACATAACGGTCTTAAGAGTTTTGAGGCAAAAAGAGGATGTCAGATTTGGACTAACAACCAGAAGTCTCTTCGCTCTCCACGAAGGATCTGTGATTCCCTGCCCTCCATCTCAACTCACCTGCTGACTGATTCCTGAAATTACCTCGAGGGTAAAAGTTTAGTTCTATAACTTGTGAAAAGCTTTGATGGGCTCGTTCACACCAGAGGTGCACGGAAGATTACATGCTGCTTGATTTTCGTGGGAGACAGGAGATGAGCCAAAGCATAAAGAGACAAATTGGACTTAGATTTTACTTCCACTGAAGGACACCCCTGGCTCACCTTTCTTAAAATTTGCTTTTTTTGTAAATAGTTTGACATTCTGCAGCTCCGATTTAAGGAGGTTCATTTTATTTCCACTGGACCAATAAATAATATCATGATAAACGAGAAAAGATTTTAGTAGTCAAAGACTTCATTTTGCGTGGCTCCACCATCACACTCATGGAAGACTGTAGAAGCACAGATGCATCTGAGTTATGGTGAGTTACTGTTGGTGAATATGGAAAGTACCATGAACTACCAGAAGAACAAACAAATCTGTGCAGGATGAAGCACACCCAGAATGGCAGTATTTCAACTCTCATACTTCAGAAATATTATCAGGAGGGACCAATCCCTGGAGAAGGAAGGACATCATGCTTGGTAAAGTGGGGGGGTCAGTGAAAAAGAGGGAGACTCCAAGGAGATGGATTGACACAGTGGCAGCAGCAATGGGCTCAAGTGTAGCAACGACTGTGAGGTTGGCTCAGAACTAGGCAGTGTTTTGTTCTGTTGAACCGACTTGATGGCACCTAACAACATCATATTTCCTAAAGAATACACCAACACTGAAGGGGCCAGAAGCCTGGACCAGAACCTAACATAGGAAGAAAGGACACAAATTCTTTCTGTAGGGGTCCCAAAGTCCTGGGATGTCTAATTATTTGTCCATAGTCTCCTAAATGCCCCTCACCAACCATTGCAGAGAGTGACTTTCTTCTGAAATGACAATACAGAGTTAAATTCAGCTGAAACTGGACACTGAAGGATCTTATTCTAGGGCTCGTCCCTTGGTGAGAAATGCCAAGTGCCATGCTGTGAAATGGATGAAAACAGTCACTTCCTTCTCTCTTTGATTCCGTTTCAGTAAGGCTATCAGCTGAGTAGATCCTTCTGCTAAATTAAGAATATTCCACTCTTGGGTCCAAGTTAGTTGACAAGTAAAGGGAACAATCATCAGCTAGTAAAATTCTAATTAACATATTAGCTTTTAACTTAAGGCCTGTTACCAAACTTTCCATTTTTAACAATAGTCTTCCAAGATTATCATTCAGCCAAATTGACCAGTGGACAAATGGAATTTGTGCATGTATATTGAATAACCTCAAGGAGCTCTGGTAGCGTAGTGGTTACGAATCGGGCTGCTAACCTCAAGGTCAGCAGTTTGCAACTACCAGCTGTTCTGCAGAAGAATGGTGAGGCGTTCTGCTCCCGTAAAGATTTATAGCCTCGGAAACCCTGTGCATGGTCACTAAGAGTGGGAACCGACTCCACGGCACATAACAACAACAATTCAATAAGCCTACCTACCATGCAGGACAAGCAGCTCTATGAAAACAGCACACAAAGCACATGGAACGAACAGCTTAAAATGATCTAGTCAGTGAATTTTATTAATTCAAAGGTGAAATTCCTTTAAGAGAAATAAAAAAAATCAAAGCCAAGTCATACAAGCATGCATCATGAGACAAACTAGTGATGAGGCCTGCTCAGACAAAACCAGAGCAGACATCAACTCATATCACAGTCCACAGGAAGGTGTTTTTATTCAGTATAAACATACAGTAGCTATGGCAACATAATGGCTACAGAATGAGATCATTAATGCGCTTAAACTTTTTCTGAATTCTGGCTTGGTTCTGACAAATCTCTCATTCTCTTCTTACCAGCTGGATAAACAGGTCTTCTAATGCCAGAAACTTCCCTTAGGCTGGAAGTTACTATAACTGAGGACTCTTTTTCTAACTACCTGCATCCCCAGTTCAAATTTGCCTAGTATATTCATTTCAACACCAAAGGTGCTACCTGTATTGGTATTGTACCATATACTGATGGCAGTGACAAGTTTAATGTGTTTCGCAGTCAGGTTCCTGGGCCTCCTGGCTCGTCTGGCCTGGCCCTGTGTGTTGGGTCTGAGCACTCTGAGGATAAAAGGGACCTACCAGCCAGTTGAGTGGCGTGTTGTTAACAAAATAATCCATGACATCATCTAAAGACGTCTTCATTTTCTGCAGCTGCCCCTTGCTAGAAGTGAGAAGACCATCAGACATTTCTTTAAAGGAGGTAGCAGTGCGGAACACTGAATAGATGTCACCTGCCATGACCCCCAAGTGGTTGGCTTGATCTTGAACGTTCTGAGGTAACCCTTGGATGTTGGACAGGAGGGTGTGACAGGTGGTCTGGAGCTGCTGGGTCAGGTTGCGGGCGATAGCAAGAGTACGTGACTCGATGTGCTAAAAATGAGACAAGTTCAAGAATTAGCAGGGACCCAATGGTGCTGCCGTGTCCGAATTAGTCATAATTACAGTAAACTGATTATGTGTCTTTGCTTTTAAAAAATCCTCATGACAGTTTTATTCATGTGTTAAAGATACGAACATGGGCTTGGAGTTTCAGTAACTTTTTCCAGTTAACAACTGGGGTGGGGATTTAAACAAGTGCCTAAATCTCCCATTTTCATCAATTTAAGTTTAAAAAACCTATTAGGCAGGGAGCTACTGGACGGAGGAAAATATGCTCTACGGTAGCAAGGTGATTTAGATATCCCCTCCTGACATAAGATAATGAATTATGTTAATATTTACTTTAAACACAAAGGCACGAGTTTTCCCGTTCCAAAGAACCATGTTCTAGCACTCCAACACGCTATCTCCACTGTCTACAACATTGCTGTTAGTTGCTAGCCCAGTCAATTCCAACTCATGGTAACCCCTGGTGTGCAAAGTAGAATTGCCCTATATGGTTTTCAAGATGGTGAGCTTTCAAAAACAATTCACCAAGCCAGACTTTTAAGCACCTCTGGGTGGGTTTGAACCTCCAACCTTTTAGGTAGTAGCTAAGTACTTAACTGTATGCACCAGCCAAGGCCTCCTTCTGGAACATTAACCTCATTTACTGCCTTTTCATCTAATTTGCTCAGTAAACCTCAGCTCTGATCTGCAGCCAAAAAGATGATCGCCAAGAAATCCTGTGAGCAGTTCTACTCTGTAACACATGGGGTTCACCATGGGTCAGAATCAACTCAATGGCAAGGGGCTTGATTTTTTGTTTAGGACTCAGTTTACACTCATCTCTTCTAGGAAGCTAACTCTCTGGGGGAAGACTGATGTCAAGACACATGGAGATCTCCAAGAATGCATGGCCTACAAGTGCTGAAAGAAGACCAGGACCTTTCCCATAGCCGATAGTGTCTTCCTTTAGAGCACTGTGGACTTCTGGTATCCTAAACTGCGAAAATACATTTCTGTTTGTTCTAGCCACCCACTTGTGGTATTCCTGTTAGAGCAGCACTGGATAACTAAGACAAGAGGCATTAAGGCAGGGGTTGTTAGGTACCATCGAGTCGGTGCCGACTCATAATGACCTTATGCACAGAAGAATGAAACACTGCCTGATCCTGGACCAACCTCACTATTGCTGCCATGCTTGAGTAACACCATTTGCAGGCCATACAAAATGATCAACTTAAAATAAACCTGCTATAGTTGGTTACACATTTAATTAACTCACCCCTAACGTGATGGCCAAGGAACTCTGGTAGTGTAGTGGTTACAAATTGGCCTGCTAATCTCACAGTCAGTTTTTCGAAACTACCAGCCGTTCCACAAGAGAAAGATGAGGCTTTCTGCTCCCTTAAAGATTTATAGACTCAGAAGCCCTGTACAGGGTCACAATGAGTCAGAACTGACTCCATGGTACTTAACAACGTGATGGCTGAAATTGCGGTTGTCTTGGCAGGGCCAAACCAAATGATGTCCCCCATCCCCATATTACGGAAACACACTAAGGAACTCCTGCAGCTCTGGTACCTCAGCACAATGAGATTCATCTGTATCATCATGGCCGATGCTTCTCTTCCACTCCACCCATGAGAGGTACAGCTTGTCCTGAGCATCCTGGAATTTCTGGTTGGCACCATGCATGTTCTTCCTGGCAAATTCAATCTAGTACACAAAGAAAGAAGACAAAGGAACAGACTGGTTGGACATTTGCATTAACCTATGCTCAGGTATATGATATAAATCATATGACACAAGTCTAGAGGCTTTCAGTAAGTGTTTAAGGAGAACTCTCTCTTCTGGAGTCCTGGTGTGGCGCTGCACGTTAATGCACTGGACTGCATAGTCGATTTGAACTGCAAGGTTGACAGTTCAAGCTTACCAGCTGCTCCTTGAAAACCCTAACATCAGGGGAGAAGAGCACAAGTGGAATGTGGGGCCCTCTCAAGAGAAGCAGCGACACCACAGATGGAGGCAGACAAAAGGGCATGGAGAGAGGGAGCAGCTAAGGACTCTGGACTCATGGAAACAGAGACTGGGTGCTGGCGGCCAGGAGGTAGGCTTGCAGAATGTGCCCTTTGGTTGTTTAAATTATTATATATTCCTGAGTGGTTTTGTGTATGCAACCCCCCCTTCCAAAAAAAATAAAACCCCAAGGGAATGAAAGCAAATACTGTTGAACGATGATGAACAGAGATTACAATCATTGCCATGAAATGATGGTATAAAGCCAAAGTTCTCCCATGTAAACTCTCACTCAGGTCATAATAAAAATGAAAAACAAAACAAAACAAAAACATTTACAGCTTTGTAAACCCTATACAGGGCTCCTATGAGTTGGAACTGACTCGGTGGCACACAACCACCACCACCACCACCACAAGTAAGTCAGCCATCCAAGTAGTTGTTAAATGCCATCGAGTCAGTTCTGACCCATAGCAAAGCAAGCCTGTATAGGGTTTCCTAAGAGCCACTAGAGGGTTTGAACCACAGACCCTGCAATTAGCTATTACTATTTACTATTGACAGCCTCCATATAACTGTTGTTGTTGTTAAGTGCCGTCAAGTTGATTCTGACCCATAGCAACCTGATACAGTTTCTGAGGAGCAGCTGGTGAGCCTGAACCACTGATCTTGCAGTTCAAACAGTTTTGCAGTCTGATGCATTAACCCACAGCACCACACCAGTATGCCAACTGTTATACTAGGGTCCCCAAATTTCCCTCCAGCTTGCCACAGAGAATGCAAATAGTACAAAAGAGTAAGGAGTTCAACCTCCCTCTTCCATGTGCCAGTCCCCTACTTCCCTTTCTAGAAAGGAACCAAGTTATGGAATGGTCTGTATGGCAGTGCAGTACGTATTGTTCCATAACTTGGCTCTCTGTCACCCCACACAATTTAGCTTGCCCTCAATTAGTTGGCATGCATGCATTGTTTATAGTCTTTTGGAAATCAAAACAAATAATCCTGAAAGTGAAACTGCTCACAATATAGGTCTTTTTGTAATTTTCCTAGATAATGCCAGTCAATCCCTTGAATCTGTCCCTTGAATTCTCTAGAAGTATATCAGTGTGCCCCTTTAAATTCACCCTTGCCAACAGCATCAAACTTTGCCAATGGGATAGGGCAAGACAAATACCTATACTCATTTTACTTAAGAATAAGATTACGATAGGATGAATGTAAAGCTAATGTTATCCCATGTAAACTATCACATTATTCACAATAAAACATTAAAAAAAAAAGACTAAGGTCAACATCATTTCATATGTTTAAGCTATTCACCCTTTCTTTTCTGTGTGTTGATTTCACACCCTTTGCCCATTTTTGTATTGGGTTGCTTTTGTTTGTAGAACATTTAAAACTCCCGGATTTCATGATTACCTTTCAACTCATCCCTGAGATGGAATGAACTCACTTCAGATGATCTTAAAATGAAGCTTTACTCACCAGAGTAACAGTGGAATGAAGCTGAGAAATGGTGTCTTGGCTTTTTTGCTTAGCATCTTTCACCCGGCTGAGAGTCTGCTCGTAGGCACGTGAACGCAGCTTGGTAGACAGAGACCCTAGTCTAACATAGTAACTTGGCTTCTGAACCACTTCAAATCCTTCAATCTTTTTCACTTCTTCTTCTGCAGTTAGAAAGGACCCAAAAAAAAATATTAAAGGGCCTCAAGTACATGTAAGAAGGCCTGGATTCTAAGCCAGGTCTTGACCTTGTCAATTCTACCATCACATCTACCCCATTAGGCATTCATTTTCCTAAGACTGTTCATTCCTTCTGCTGAGCTTGTCCACCTGAACATTTCATGTCTCTTCTCACTAGAACGAGCTTAGACACAGTGTACAGCATATAAACTAAACCAAACTGCTCAGTTGATTTCAATTCATGTGTTAGAGCAGAACTGCTTCAGAGGGGTTTCTTGGCTTTAATCTTTACAGAAGTAGATTACCAATCCTTTTCTTATGGGACCTTGCTGAATGGGTGCAAACTGCCACACTTTAAGCTAGTGGATGAGTACAAATCACATATGCCACCAAGGGACCTTACCCGGAACATAGTAGTCACTGAATGCTTAATTAGGATTTTCTAAAGCAGCCCATTAAATTAGGACAATCAACCCATCGACAGAGACTAGTTTTTCTAGGCTAAACTTCCTCAACATGAAACAAGATTGCTGTACAAATGCAAATTGAACTTTAGCACAGAGTTTCTAGTCACGGCCATGAGAGAGCTTTAGAAATAGATGGTGATGAGACTTGTGCAACCTTGGGAATGCAATTATTGTTGACCCAGAATTATAACTTGAAAATGGCAAAATTTATGGTGTGTATATATGAGGGGGCTTCAAAAAGTTCCATTATCTCTTAATAGTATTTTTCCATGAATTTTTGCAGCCCCCTTGTGTGTATGTGTATAGAGTCTTGGTGGTGCAGTGGTTTAGTGCTTGGCTGATGAGAGGTTGGTGGTTCAACCATAGTTCAGATACATGAACTATGCCCAGTCCTTAGAAGAAAGACGTGGCAGTCTGCTTCCATGGAGATTACAAAAGCCCTGTGGGCAGTTCCTCCTCTGTCCTATTACACGTCACTATGAGTCAAAATTGCCTGAACTGCAACAAGCTTGGCTTTATATATATATATATATATATACATAAATTTATAGATTCCTATGTTGTTAGTACATGCCATCGAGTCGGTTAAGACTCATAGCGACCCTGTATAGGGTTTCCAAGGAGCAGCTGGTGGGTTTGAATTGATGACTTTGTGGTTTGCAGTCCAGTGTTAATCCTACAGTGCCATACTAGTAGGAGTCAAAATGCATATATTACCATAATATTTTTTTTCCCCTAAAAAGGCAGGCATATCTATAGAGACAGAAAGTAGGTAAGTAGTTGGCTGGGGGTGGGAACTGGAATTGACACAGGGATTTTTTGGGGTGATAGAAATGTTCTAAAACTAAACTGGTGATGAGTGTTTAATTGTCCATTTTGACTGAAAGCAGGCAAAATGTATGGTATAGAAACTATATCTCTAATTATTTTAAGATATAAAAAAAATCCTTTTAAGACAGAAATCTAATTACCTAGTTCTTCCTGGGTGAGAGGGAGATATTGGTCTACCAGTAGCTCTGATTTGGTGAGTGCACTGTCGACTCTACTGTTTACCATCTGCATCACCCGACTTTCCAAGACTGTGTTAATGCTGCCATTGACCACAGACTTGGTCCTCTCCACACTGCCAGCCACTGCTCCCTTGGTCTTGTCCACCACCCCGGTGATTGTGTTGGCCACAGAATCCTTGGCCCCAGTCACAGCCGTCGTCACAGCATCTCTGGCCCCAGTCACAGCACCTCGGGCACTAGCAACAACCTACAAGTACAAAGGAGGCAGATGATGTGGTGAGGAGAAAAGCTTGGGCACTAATTAATACATATTAAAGACAAACAAATGAGGCAAAAGGGTATAAAATGCCATCAAGTTTTGTATTTGATGTTGTTTTCCCATTGAACCTAGAGTGACACAGAGGGACTGCTCTAGAGAAGAATGGCATTTCTATGTCGACATGACTGTATTGGAGCAGCTTGTGCACTGTGTGCTCTCAAACACAGGTACCACGCATGCCCAGGCCTTAGCAGTGACACCCTTAAAGGCCATCCCTTCAGCAGAGATGATAGTTCTTCATCCTACTGGATGTGCTTCCATACACCTTCCATGCACACAGGATTTCCAAACCACTATCCAACCCAAGCTCCACTCCAGGAAACCCAAAAGGAGCCTAGGGACATGGCTGCTTGGTTTTCCCATTTTGCTCAAGTGTCAAGGAGAAGATGCAGATGTACACAAAGGATTCTTTCCCTGGTGCCTATGCAACAACACAATCATACTTACGTATACTTGACGGGGTACAGTTCCCTTCCAACACTACATGAAGATTTTACTATAACTAAAGACTGGCACTGAGAAAGTAAACCAGCGTGAGTTCTGAGTTGCTCCAAGGGAGATAAGGGAGACGCAGATTAGAGAAATAGTGGTCCAGGCTCCCAAGCTAACTGAGCTAGCTGAGTTCTGCTTCCTGCTTGGGAGAGGGGATACATGAACTATGTCCTCTAGGCATTATCTTGTTAAGAGCTGTGGAGTTGAGTGAGACACGTAACAACCCTATATAGGGTTTCCAAGGAGCGGTTGGTGGGTTTCAATCACTGACCTTAAAAGTTGGCAGTACAATGGTGATCCTACAGTGCCGCACTGTAGGATACACCAGAACTCCAAGCATATCTTAGGTACAGAAAACGGCTTTCAAAAGACATTTCAGACACTAATGACTTGCCCAAGATAACACATGAAAACTCAGATCCTATGAGGAAAAAATAGCTTTGAACCTAATGTGTTCCGTATCAGACCCTATACAAAGCACGTGGCTGAGGCAAGTATAACAGCTATGGTACCCCTTCCATTTACGCTTATAGAAAGTATTTATGCTTATATAAAGTAGGCCTTTTCTTCCAAGTCACTTACTAGGTTTCTTTAAACACAGGGTAATGTACTCATGGGATCAGGTTATTTTGTCAGAACCTTTTAAGACATTAAGTTTCTTCTCCTTACAGGCAAGGTGAAATCTGACAAATGTGCAAATGTCCTCAGATATTACCCAGATATGCTCCTGAAGTACTCACAGGATAATAAAACGTAATATACCTAATTGTTGCAGACCGTGTAAGACTAGTCAGAGGTTCGAGGCCCTCTAGGGCTGAGTGTAACAAATGAGGCCACTGGCAGTTAATTCAAAATTGCTTTCATCTTAATATTCAGGTATATATATTAAATTAATACACTGGAGCCTTTGAAAATCCA